CCCCAAAACCCCAAAACCCCAAAACCCCAAAACCCCGTCCACATAATTTATAAAGATATTTGATAAATGATGAAATTATGAAATTAAGATAATAACTATCAAGGATTTTATTATAAGTCATAGTTGCTGATCAAATGCTAGAATCTATGGAGTTATAGTGTTTGAGCATTTTTAGGATGAATCTAGCCCTTTAAATGATTATCTTAGTCCTTATCATTTTTAGGCTTTTCATCATCAACAATTGAGATAGCTTAATTTCCATCTTTCTCTTCTTATATATCATGAATTTAAGTTGGGTTAAGCTATTTCATGTTAGTCATCTTCAGTTATTATCTCATTATTTGAATTTAGGATTTGTTTAATCTTTCACCTAATAATGTTGGTTGTTATTTACTCATCTATTCAGTAAGATCAGCATTTATAAAATTCTCTGGTCCCCTTAATTCCCTCTAAGTATCCCCTACATCTTTTCTGAACTTTATTCTCATTCTTTAACTTCCATTCACTGTTGATGACTTCGGTCTTATATGCTTGTTTAGGAAGTCTTACATATTGTTATGAGCATTACGACTATCTACTTTACCAGAGAGAATGTTTATGTTACTTGGGGTAACAAGAAAATCTTATCTTTTTACATAGTTTGTTGAAAAATTAGCCTAAACTTTGCTTGGACTTGACTTGGTTAGCACTTAGCTTCTTGGTCTGGAAGTAAAAGTTCTTGAATTAGAATTCAATCTTGAATAATTTTCCATTGTTTAATAATTATCATAGACATGATTTGCTTCATTTAGTCTACTTTAATTATTTTGAATATTTTACGTAATTGATCCAGTTTAGGTAGTCTATCTTCTATGTGAAATAGCAGTATGAGCTCTTTTGTTTTATTTATTTACAATTCCTGCTCTTGAGCTGTATGTATCAAACATCCTCGATAATGAATCCCTTTTCAATTCAAGGCTTGTAAATCTCCCAGCCTGATTATCTTAGGTGGTTATTTAATCTTCAAGAGTTGGAATTAATGTTATATTTTCATTTGTGTATGTCTCGTAAGCATTTTTTTTCTCGATCACACTGTTGTTGTAAGTACTAATATCGCACATAATATCTCTGTTTTCATTTTAGGTTTTCTTCAATTCTCACATCAATCCTTCATTCTCTTTTTAAATATTCTTGAATTCACTTAATAAGGGACCTTTTAATTTTAAGATTTCTCCTTCGAGAAAAGTTATTCTTCTAGACTATTCATCGTTTGCTCTAGCTAAATCTTCCCTCTAGGATAATAGACTTCTGTCAAATTTAGCAAATTTATTCAGAAGTTTCGACTAATCTTCCTTTTACAAATAATCTTCTTTGGTCTTTTTATTTCTCATTATTTCTTATTCTTATTTGACAATATTCATATGAGTTTCAACATGCACCAATTTCTTGAATTTTACATCTGTATCTAGCTAGAGTTTATTATAAAAATCTCTCATTTCTTATTTCATTACTATCATAGATTTTTCAATGTGATCATACTATTCAATCATCTTTGAGTGCTAATTCTTGGCAAATTCAAAATATGAAAGAACTTAGTCACTTCTTTCGTTGAATGCTTGTTCATCCACTTTCATGTTTTCAAATCTACTTTTAAATGCAAACAAATGATCTTAGACTTCCTTCATGAAAGAATCGGAGGACGTGAGGTACGAATCCATTTCCTTATTCCTTTGAATGAATTCTATGATTTTTTGACTTAGTTCGTTTATTTAGGCTTGAAAATATCTCCTTTATACTTTTGGATCTCCTCTTAAAGCTTTTGAAATTTTCTGGTTTTTACTGACTCCTCTCAAGAAAGTATTACCAAATCCAAAATTATTAGTTGAATAGTATTTTGAACCATTAAAGTTAGCCACACTATTAAAATTAGATCTCGAACTTTGAGCAAAATTTGTGTTTTCTTTATTCAAATTATCAAAAAAATTTGCTCTCTGATTTAATTAAGGAGTATTTGCATTAAATCATGGCTGATTCAATCCAACTTAATTATGGAAGGCATCATTTACATTAGGACTTGGATTATTTGACTATTTTTGGTTCGATTAAATTTATTCATCATTCTTTTCAACAATTTACTTTGAGTTAACTAAAATTAGGTTAATTTGAATAAATTACAGTTATTTTTGAAAGATTCAATCTTGAACTCTACTATTTTACCCTTAAATTCAAAATTGCTATTTTTGTCATCCATGCTACTCTCATTAATAACCTCATCTTGAATTTCCTATTCTAGCTTTTCAAATTCATCTTCTTCACTCTAGGTTAATTCATCATCTTTTACTCCAGTTATTTGATAGCGGACCTCTTTGATGTCATTTTGGATTATTTTTATCTTTTCTTCTATACTTTTAACTTCTTTATTCATAATATCAAAGTCACTCTTCTCTGTATACTTATTCATAATTTTGTGAATCTCTTTTTTATCAATCTTTGTTGTTATTTATGTTCTCAATTCTTGATAAGTGTTATCTATTGCACTTGACAATTCATGCTGAGAATAAACTTTCAAAGCTTAAAAATCCTCTTTGAGACGAGTAAAATCTGATAATGGTGCTCTTCTCTTCAATCTTTAGGAGAAGTATTCTTTATCAATTTTCCCATCTATTTCTCCCCTCACATCCGTTGTAAAGTCAATCAAATCTTTTCTCAATCTTTCAGAGAGATCAACTTTTATATCAAACATCACTCCTTGCAGATCACTCCTTTCCATCATTGTACTAATCTTAAGCTCTTGCTAAGTTATCAGCTGATAGTGGCTATCTATTTGAAATTATATTGTCTCTAGCTATATATATATTATTAATATTGCAGATTAAGATTTGTTCTTACCATAGGAATGTACTTATCAATTTCTTTAAGCCTTTGTAAAATCTTTGTAATAGGCATATCATTTTTTATTCGACCATATTATTCTTCTTAATAATCTTAAGAAATCTCTTTTTATTAATCAGTCATTAAAAACTACAAATTAATATATATTATAATTAGTCTATCATTATCTTTCTATTTTCTCTAAAATTAAAAGATAGGGATTTTATAAATTTTAAAAATCGAAATATTATATTCCTCTCAAAATTCTCCTATGTGTGCTCCACCCTCGGTTATAACAACTGTGCCATCTCTTGACTTTATAATTCTGTCAATTGGTGGTAGACTAGTAGTAGATCTTTAGTTCTCTTTTATTTTTTTAAGTCCTTGTGCTGTTCTTGGAGGAGTCTAGATATCTTTTTGAATGAGATCATTTTATATAGTTCCACCCCCTAGTAGTGAATTCTTGCTTTAGTAAGTATCTCCTTCTCTTAATTTGCGCTTTCTTTCTTCCTCTTTCCTAGTGATTTTAGCAACAGGCTCCAGCTATTTCTTTCCGTACTTGTTAACTTTATAGTAATCAAAGTCTCTTTTTACTTATTAAAGGTCTTCTCCTGATAGAGCAACATTTAAAATGCTGAAAAAATCATTGTGCTTTTTAAATCTCTATAAAGCAGTTCTCTGACTGCTTTTCGATATGTTTTAAGTTCCTTACAGATACATCTATTTTTCATAAATCGATTATAATTCTTACTCTGATGATTGGAATCGTAAACTTTACCGATATCTACTCTAGGTCAGTTTTAAATTTTGGCATTTCAACTAAATTTAAGTCCAAAAGTGATCTATCAAGTAGTTTTGTCCGGTCTCTTGCATCGGCAACATCTCTAGCAGCTTTCTTATTAGGTTAGTCCATCATGTGATCTTCAGTTACCAAATGCCTTTTTCTTGATCTAGATTACATAACAGATTTTTTGGCTTTTTATTCTTGCATTTTAAAATGATTTCTTCTCATTAAGGCTCTTTAGCAAAGGAATGAGTGAAATTTAGGAAACTACTCACAAATATTAATGAACTTGGATTCTGCAATTGTCATGCAACTTGTCTCTTCTTCAGCAAAAGCTGTGAAAGCATAGTTTGAAGGTAGGTTGAACAGTATTTAATAATCTCCAAAGAAGGAACCTTGTGGTAAAATTGTGATATAAGTGAACTAAGGTATACTTGCTGCTGTTGGGGGCCTTAGACCATCACCTTAATTGCTTCTTCCATTAGAAATGATACTTCTTCTTACATCATGCTAGAGTTCAAAGGGTAGAGCTTTCAAAGCGTCTTGATAATTCGAGCTGACAAGAATGCTACCTTACTAGCAAAAATATAGCCTATTTACGATTTCTCCAGTCTTTATTATATCTACGAATGGCAAAAAACTATGATAAGTATTGTAAAATGAATGAATTTAATACATCTAACAGTCGAGATTAGACAGAACCTTCCTTATAAAAACCTCATCAGCATGGTTTTTATTTTAAACATCATGAAAAAAGAAATAAAATTGCCTGTGATAGTCTTTAAGTACCTCTTAGATTAGAATATTTTTGAGTCTTGGAGGAAGAAGCTTATAATAATTTGATTCTCTTAGGGATTAAGATACTCCTTTTAAATAGCTGTTCTTAATGTAATTTATTGCATTATCATAAACATCTGATTTCATATCCTTGTTTGGAATTTATACATCAATCTCGCATAAATAGTTTTCGATCTCGTCACTCTTTGTAATGATCATTTAAGATTAATAAATTACTTTTTGTTCGATGATCTCTGATATTTACTTAATCTCTTTTAAGTTGGTAATTTGACCAGTGATAAGAGAGAATGTGCAGATACCAGTAAATTCCAAAAATATCATGTACAACTTTTCTCTCGAATTATAGGCAAAATTATCTCCATATCCAACTGTGGTAGCGGTTGTGAATATAAAATAAAGAGCTGTAACATATCTATATGAGTTTTAATTTTCATTTCAAATACATGTATAGTTCACTTTCGCTGTCATTTTCATTGGCAATCATTGATCTCCATCCTCCATCTGTGTGGCCAATCAATATCCATATACATGCCAAAACATGGAAGAGCAAGCTCAAGTATATCAAAGTCCTATTGATAGTTGATATATTAGTTATTACTTTAAAATAGTAGCAAAATTGATAAACATCTCTTAGTTGTCTACAAAATAACTTTTAAGTTAATTCATAATGAACTAGATCTACTCTATGAGTCTTTAAAATCTTATAAATCTTAAGACTTTGAAATAGTAAGCCCAATGAACCTTCTCAGTAGTTACAATTCCTGGGAAGCATGATAAAATATCAAATATAAAGTATCCGGTGAGATAGGTCCATGCAATTTGGCGATGCTAAGTAATAATATCTGCATCACTGAATTGTGCAGTAAAGAAAATAGAAATAATTTTGAGCATAATGCACCAATCCATAGCAAATTCTAGCCACCTCAAATTTTCTAAGGGTTTAATTTCAAATGCGATATCGAATACCATTTTTGCAAGACTATCAGGCATGATCACATACTTATCTTGCTTCTTTTCACCTGTATTCATTCCAGCTTCTCTATTCATGCTTAACAATGTCTTAACACTAGAGTTAGGAATTTGTTTTATTAAAAACATTACTTTGCAAGTGCAATAATTCGATATTTGCATACTCTGACGCGAGCCCAGTTTCTATTTGCTCTTTACTGTTTTTCGAGATTAATTGATATTTTGCTAGCCATAAAATCAATATCTATGTTTTCTAGGGGTGTCCCCTCCAAACACTTAAAACTATTGAGATGCTAATCCAAAATAAATTTACCATGACTTTCATTTCCTAGATTCTGAAACTGGTATGGTTTTGTTTAAGGCTTCTATCCTAGTACTCTACATTATTGAAGGATCATTCTCAGACATTCTCCCTATCATGATTCTATAGAAATTCTAGTAAAAACAAGGTGGGTTACGGGTTTTCATAATCATCATGCTACATTCCCTAAAGACGTACTGAATCTTGATCATCATTTTTCAATTAAGTAGGTACCACTTAATTATGAGATATCAGTTGATTTTAGGAGTTATGCATTTAAGAGGAATCATCGACAGACATCAAATCTGCTGAACCCTTTTATGTGTGCAAACCTTAGTTAGAATTGTCAATTACGGCTATTCCTTTTTTACTCATAGTTTTATGAATACTTTAATTCTTAAGATTATCAATTATTTATAATTAAGAAATTAATGTTTTAATATTAATATTAGGATAATTGTTAAATTTAAGCATGCATTAACCATTAAATTGCAATATTTAGAAATCTCTGCAAATTCTATGAAGCAATATCATTCATATTAATCTAGCTCAAGCTCTAAAATTGTTTCTTCAATTTTCTCCTACTGAATTTTATTATGCTCGCTTTAACCATCTATTTGATGATTTGGGAGAGAACTTCTATTATTCATTGTTTTTATATCTGATCCATTAGATATAATGCCTGGATTACTTGTTCCCCAATCTTAACTCTATCTAGTTTTATTTGTTACAGCTCCAGTACTTTGTTTTACTATTTTTTATGGAGCTTTTATTTACTTTTTGACTACTGGCTTTTTCTTTGCCATTTCATGCATTTTGTATTCATTTTTGACCTCACTTAATTCTGTTCCAATAGTCACAGACTCAGACAACTTAAAGAATTCTCTGAAGCGATTTAATCTGTTCTTCAGGTATTTGCCACTTGATAGAGACATATTCTCGACACTAGATACATACATCTAAAGTTTAATTTTTAAAGATAATCAAGCTTACTCTAAGCATTGGCAAGGTAAAGTTGAGATGTATTTTTTGCTAATCAAGCTTGTAATGAGGTCTTTCAATCGAATTTAACTCAACCAGACTATGCTACATAAGATGATTGTTTTCGCTCACCTTCATTATTTGTTCCTTGTCAGAATCTTCTTCAAATTTTTGTCTAGCAGAAAGATTATCTCCTAGATTTTAGGTTTCCATTTATGTATCATTGGTGAGTTTAGAATCATTTTGCTATTCTAGCTTCAATTCCATTTACTTGAAATGATTTCTTCTAAGAAGAGCTCTTTGCTGGAGGAATGAATGGAAATGAGGGAATTCTTCACATTTTTATAGAAACTTTGAACTTGAAATGGTCATGCACCAAGTCTCCATTTGGGACATTGAAGTAAAGGTATAGTTTGAGTTAATGTTGAAAAGAATTTAATAGTCGCCAAAGAAGGAACCCTCAGGTAAAATTGCTATACAATCAATATACTTTTAACCTCTTTTTAAATTTCCAACAGCTATCTTTTTAAAGAGTCTATTTTATCGATGATTTTCAGATTCAATAGATTCTCTTTAGTTCATTTGCTACATCCCTTTTTCAATTGCATAATCAATAGCCGAAACTGGCTTAACCAATACCTATAAAGTTTATATTCTTTACAATAATACAGCTCCTTTGTATACGAAGTAGAGCTTGTTAACCTCATGGCCACCTTTCAATATTTCAACATTAGGTTCAAAGCTAAGACTTGATTAGGGTGTAAATATTTTACATTTAGCAATCTAAGTTAACTAGAATTTTTCTTATGAAAGTTTGAGGAGCGTAGTTTTGTTGTTAAATGTCATTGAAGAAGTAAAAAAATTTATCATAGTATTTATCCAATGTCTAAAGAACAAATCTATCCTTAAGCTTTGGAGGTAAAAGCTTATAATAATTTCCTTCCTTAAATGAAGATTTCACTCCTTCTAGATAACTAACTTTGATATATTCTCCAGCTTAATCATAAGTATCACCATCAATATTCTTCTTTGATAATAGATCAATATCAAACAAAAACCCTTATATTTCATCTTACTAAGAAAATTAAACAATTTTTGAAGCTTACCTTTTCTTGAATGATATCTGCAATTTATCTCATTGATTGCAGAGATGTGATATTTCCAGTGATTATTGAAAAAGTGCAAATGCCTGTAAATTCTAAAAATATCAAATAGAGCTTTTCCCACTTATTGAATGCGGAATAGTCTCCATATCCAACTGTAGTTGCTGTGGTTGTAACAAAATAAAAAGCAGTTACATAACTAGCAGAAATTTATTGAAAATTAGTTACATAAAAAGATAAGAATCTTTGTCTTTTTCAGTTATTAGTGAATTATTAATCCATGAATTGTCAGTGTAGCTCAAAAGAATCCAAAAGCAAGATAAAATGTGGAAAAACCCTATGAAATATAGGAGTGTTCTATTTAGGATTAGTTTAATTAATTAAAATTACTTGAATAATGAGAAAAAGTTTTCTATAGATTAGCTATGAATCAATATCTTCATTATTCTACCAAGGACATTGTTAATTTATGCAAAAAGCCTGTCGATCTGAGTGAACCTGACAATCTTTACATAGTAAATGTATTTATAGCTTTCAACTGTTACAAATCCAGGTATTGTTGCTATCACGTCAAAAATGAAATCTGTCTTTAGATATCTTGATAAGATTGCTTTGGGTTTAAGAATAACTTATCCATCACTTCTGTAGCCAGTGAAAAAGTTCATTACCAGGTTTATAATTAAAATAATATCTATGATGAATTCAAACCATCTTGTGTATATCAATGGTTCAGCATGAAATGCAACTCTAAATATAATAAAGGTCCGTATGATCTTGTTGATAAATTTAACTTACACAAAAGGAGTAAGGAAAAAAGATACAATATAGGCAATATCAACACATAAGTCAAATGGGAATTTATAGTTGTTATCAGGATGAATCACATAGGAACTAATTGTTGTCTTCTCTTATTTTTAAAACTTATCCCTTTAGATCATTCTTAATTGTTAAGTTATTATCCAATCCTTACATTCCAAGCATCACAATCTTTCTCAAAGACTTTCGTACTTTTTCCCAATTCTTACTTGCACGATCGAATGACTCATAGGTTGTAGGCATTTCTGAAGTTAACTAATCGAATCCAACTCCTTCATAATCTCCAAGAGGACTTATCTTCTTTTTTTTGCAGCAAAAACTAAAAATTAAATGCTTAAGTAAAAGTATAATTTACAAGTTAGAGGTTTCCTTAATAGAATTTTTATTTTATTAGTATGAAACTGTTAAAGGTTCCTCAAATTCAAATTACCTTTTGGACTTATCATTTGCTTAGGCATTAACCAATCCTTCCTAGTTTGTGTATAAATTTTGGCTAGTATACTCTATTGTATAGTTTTGAGTTATATTTGTAGTTTGATTATTTATATATCCTCTGTTTTATGCATCATTTATATGTAGAGAAGTATCTAGATTATTCTAAACTTGTCTATCATTTTATAAAAAGTCTACGAAAGTCGCCTCATTTTAAGTTATACTGTAATTTTCATTTGTATTAATGGTCTTAACTTTGTCATATTTTTATTGATCTTATTGGCGAGCGGACTGTGGACCATCACTAATAACCAAACCGTCTCTTTTAGAGTTTTATTACCTCATTAATTTATATATTTTAATTTTTCAGCTTAATTGCTAGTAATAGAAACAAGAATTATTACTTAATAATATCATCAATTAATTACATTTTTCTTCAAAACTTAAGCAACTTGGGGTTTTGGGGTTTTGGGGTTTTGGGG